TGCTCCTTCGAAATAAAAAGATTTTCCCTTTCTCTGTGCAAAACTCAATGGAGCGACTCTTTCTTGCCTGTAAAAAACACCTTGGAATCTTCCAGAGTGATGAGGAAATTCCCTCATCAGGTTACACTGCAAAAACGGTCAATAAAAATTCTTAAATTAAATGTACCAGTATTTACCCTTAATTTGAGCAGGTTAATAAGATGATCTGCCAATGGAATGAGTATTTTTACTCTTAAAATAATATAATTAGATAATATGCACTTGTAATAAGGCAATACCACTGTTTTTTTCTTATTTTAAAAGTAAATTGTATTTTTTCCATTGGCAAAGTGTTTTATTTACCTCAATTCAAGAAGAAAATGCAGTTATTTTAAGAAAAAAAAAATTATTGAGATTTATATTTTTTGCAGTGTACCATTCATCTACCTACTATCTTACTCAGTCAATAAGTAGGCAATGGATGCTGTTGGGAAACCCAAAACCTTAGACTTCTAGGAAGCCCAAAGCCATTCCAAGGCCAGAGGGGAAATGTAGTCCATCTATGGAGCACTGCGTCAACCTTGGGGTCTCTTCACAGTGCGACATGAAAGGAAATCTACCCAATGAGAGGTCTAAAAGAATCCTGGTCAGAGGCCTGAACTGACTCAACAGACTTTGTTCAAAACCAAGGAGCAGCAGTTCAGTGACAAATGACCAACAGTGAGGGTCAGAATGTAGCCAGCCCCTTAAGCTTTTTACCACAGCCCTTTTTCTTACCAGGGATCAGTGTAATGCTTGCTTTAATGCCAATCTAAAATGTCTATTTCCCTGACCATCCCATATCAATTCAATTCAGTTTATTTCTATAGCGCCAATTCACAACACAAGTCATCTCAAGGCACTTTATAGTTCACCAAATCATACAGTCAGATCGATTCAAAGTTTTCTGTCTAAGGAAAACCAGTTTCTTGCATCGACTCATTGACTCAAATGCAATCCCACACAATAAGCATGCTTGTAGCGACAGTGGAGAGGAAAAACTCCCTTTTAACAGGAAGAAACCTCCAGCAGAACCAGGCTCAGTGTGAGCAGCCATCTGCAGAGGCCGACTGGGGTTCAAGGAGACAGAAGCAGAGATACAAAAAGCAGCTTCAAAAGGCGGCCCCGTCCAGGAAACACACAGTCAGGCAGACGACTTCAGAGCCATCTCCCATGTCAGAGGATGAAGAGAGCACATCCAGCCAGTCACAGTCAGAGAAACAGGACTACACTGGAAAACAGGCTGATTTCCAACATCTATAATGTTGATGGCAGCAGCACAGCTGATATTTCTCTCCAGGATGTTGCCCTAGCCAAACAGGACTAGGACACTAGTCCCATGGATAGTTGAACCCCTCTACTTTGGTAAAAGAATATCGCCAAGCCAGGTGAACAATAACAAATGATTTATGTCAGTGTAGCAAATCAGTTCTGTCATGAACATAAACCCCTAAGAGCTATGAGTTTAAGGTTCGCAGATAAAACAGATCAGGGTGTTTATGCATTCCTCAGCACCAATCAGATTGAAATCAGTGTTTTGTTCATTTGACTCCGTTCTGAAGTCTTATCATTCAAAGCTTATGCTCAGCTACTTTGAAGATACGTCCTCAGACAGCCACTTAATTCCGCCTCTCTACACTTTTGAACTCAGCTGGAGCATGGGATGGGGAAAAAGTGTCTGACTTTAGAGAAAAAAAGAACCTAAGACGCAGCATGAACATGAGGAAGGAGACAGATAGAAACAAAGGATGAGCTTTCAAAGGAGGGAGCAACAGAAGTTAAGATGTTTTTTTAAAATAAAAAGGCCATGCACGGATGCACGGTTAATAGCACTAAATCACAGCACGCCTCTACACCCTCGCCCGGGTGTTGATTTAACCTCGGCCGACACTCAAGGGCGCTGTTGACTTTCTATGCTCATTAACAGATGAAAAATTACTTAATTGAGAGCCAGACAAGCAGGCATGTGCATTATTTTAAGTGAAAGTGGTAATATAGCTTGAAGAATAACCTCTAATGGCTTTCTTTGTTGGTATGTAAAATAGATAAGCATGGGGTGAGCTGTGGCTGGCTTTTTAGCTGGAGCTGCAATCATCAACTATGAAAATTGGTTTTGGGCCAATTGAAGGAGGTGAGTTGGAGGTTGGGTGGTACATTAGGTCTGGACACTAATGGACCCCGCCTCGTGGCTGAGTAACTACCTTCAGACACACTTGCGCAGATTAATGAATGCACACATGCATTAACAAATATGTAACATTCTTGTAGATGTCAGTAAAACTCTGTGTGCATCTTTTCAAACTCTTTGTTAGATTGTTATGGTCTGGCCCTGAGGTTCTGTTTTTGGGAGAGGACCAATGACTTGTGGAGCACACCCAGGGCAACCTCCTCATAGCTTCAGGCCTAGCCTGGGGAAGGAATAGATGGGATATATTGGTGCGACTCATGAACCAGCTGGAGATTTCTAGCCTGAAGCCAGTAAACCAAAAAGCAAAAGGAAAGCAAGAGACTGAGTTAAAAAGTCATGGTTGCAAATGGTAAAAAAAAAGTCCCATGGCTTACAAAAGAGCATGCAATGCCTTAGGCCAGAATAGTGGGAGACAAAGGGAGGCACATAGATAGTTACAGAAAACTAAAGAGAACAGATGATGGAAAGAAAGACTTTAAAGATAGATGCAGAAGGAAAGCTGTGATTATATCTCTTTATGGAACATCAACAACAAATCTCAGTTAAAACCACCCCTGATTTACCATAACGCCTCGGATAAGCTGTGTGTTCCTTCTAAATGAGTACTGATGCAGAAAATGAGCAACCATTTTTACTTTGTTAGTTAGATCACAAAAGGTACAAAAACAGAAGGTCGTAGCCGCTAGCTAAATTCACTGCAGAAGTTCCTTGAAATGCAATTCCCCTGAAAGGCACTAGGGAGTGGCTTAAGCAGATTTGCTTGAAGAAAAGTAAATAAGGCTCCGTCACAAGACAGCTGTGATGATATGAATGTCCTTGGATATATTAATGCATTAGATAAACAAGTGGAAAATGAATATCGCACACTCACACATATGCTCATTTCATAAAACTGGTTTCCTCAAGGTTGCAAAATTGCTGACCTCCAGAAACACTAAAGCTTTCAGCACTGCTAGTGTTTGCTAGGTCCGTCATCTGCTTCCTGTCAGCTGGTCATTACCCAGTCTGGCATTTCAAGTTATTTGACTTGATAATGTATACATTTTTATTTTGTGTTTTTCACTATTATTTGCCACCTTTTATTATAGACCAATGCAAAGGGGCATGAGTGATGTCTGATGGAAGTAGGCTACTGCACAGCAGCCTGTAAACAGCATCTTCATAGTGAGACATGGTGGTGGAATTATCCTTTTTGTGGTTACCTTTTCCAAGCATAAATAGTAGATCTGGTCTCATTCAGAGAGTCAGTGAAGGAATGTCCTGTCTTAAATAAAAAGTCTTTCTTCTGAGTTCTCTCTGGATTTGTAGAAACAAATCAAGGAAAACAGGCACTGAGTTGTGGCCATTTATGCAACATTTTTGTAATTTGTTATTTCTACAAATTTAGTTTTTGTCTTTTGGTATGTAAAATATATTTAAGTTAATTTAGAAACAAAATTTGTTATCTATTTTTTCATATGTGTAAGTTGTTAATTGTTAGACCCTCCCATTAATTTGAGTGATTAAGAGCACACCAGGTGCTGGGGGATGGTGTAGACAGGAGGTTTTAAAAAAATAAAAATTTTTCCCCACTTTTTTGGAAGCTTATAACATAAAATTTATTTTCTACTACCTTCCAAGACATTTTTAGTATTTGTTTTTCTTTGCATTTACAATTTGTCAAGTTGGAAGTGAGTGCAAAACCAAAAACCACCTGTTACCATTCACAGTCTTTGATGGAAATGTTGATATTTTTTGTTGGAACAGAAGGCTGCGACATGCTGCTTAAATAACTTAACTTGACTTAGAGTTAGACCTGCTTTATTGTCATTTTGTATACACAGAGTGTATACCGGTAAAAAACAAATTTTGTTCATTACAGCTCTGAAGACATTTTCATTTTATTAAAGATACGATTGTATATTAGTTACAGTTTAAACATTCAGGGTTTTTTTTATTATTTATTTATATTTTTTTATTAGATTTTTCTAAAGTACACAACATGAGTTAAAAAAGCAGAAAAAATATTTGTACCGCTTATGCCATTCTTTTGAAATTAAAACAGATAAAATAACTACAAAACTCTATCTTAATTGAAAAACATGATGTTAACCTAGTTATTTATTCTTTGGAGCTATTGTTAAAGAGCAATCCTTGTTTGTCACCTGGATTTTTATCAAGACAAAATTTAGCATTTAGGTTTGTTGTAGTAACTTGACAAGTAATGAAACAAAATGAAAGGAGGATAATTCTGCTGGAGGTAATTCTGTTCTAGTAGATGTTTCACCTCTCATTTAAAAGAGGGCTTCAAAGCAAAGAAGAAAAAACCTATCTATGTAATTTATGTATCTGTAAATAAACGCAACCTCTGTGGTAGAAGTACCACCCATTGACCAGCAGAGGGCAGTATCAAACTATAGATGACCTCAACCTACCTCATTTTTAGGCGAAGGTAGTGGCTGCTTTTACTAAAATAGGAAATTACAGTTTTATACTGTGAACGCGTTTTCCCAAGCACATTTTCCCTCTTAGGAAATACTCATCTCACATTTTCATCATCTCCAATTAAGTCGGTTTCGCACTTTCATAGTTTTTCAATGAAAGTGCGAAAGTTTCTATTTTTAAAGATAACAATAAACAATTAACCTTAAATATAGCGCATTCACTATACATTATTAATTATAAACATCCGATGTTATATAATTTGTCGTTTTTTTATTAAAATAACGATACAAAGGTGTGTTCTTGTGTGTACTAACTGATTTTGTAACCATAGATTTGAAGTAGAGCTCAGTTTTCCGAGGCACCTCTGAACGTAAAAGGAGCTATCAGCCAGTCTCCTGGCCAAGGTGTCCGCTTTCGGCAGCTAGCTGTTGTTTTCACCTTTAGTTTTAATTGAAAGCTTTTAATACTAAATTACACTTAACATCTCTGGACACTGTGTCGCCATGAAGGGAAGCAGAGTTTTAGTGGTTGTCTTGGTGCTTTCTGTCAGCCTGCTGTGCCCAGCCGTAGCGGGCAGGGGCAGGAGCGGCGGCAGCAACCAGAACAGCTTCAGGCGGGCAGCTAACGGGATCTACCAGACCCTGAGCAGCGTGTTTGGAGAGGAGAACATCCGAGCTCTGTACAAGGTGCGTGGGGCCACAGAAGGAGAACAATAGAGGCTTGTTCTATATAATAAAGGGTTTGTAATCCACATAAGGTGAACAGGAAATTTTAAAAAGCTAACTGGGCCTGCAGAACTTGTCATGGATGCCATTTTGAATTATTAGCATTAATCCATTTATTTTATTTATGTAAAACAAACTATTTTAGTTAAATACTGTATTGTGTTTCTTAGCATTTCTGTTTCACTGTTTTCTGCCCAGTCCTCTGCATCACTTATCTGTAACCTCATTCTTTTGATCCAAGGCCTATAACGGCTATCAGTCTTTTTAAAGCGTCATATTTCCATTTCTTTGATAACAGCCTCGGTGAAGGACACACAGGGCTGCATGGTGTGCTCTCATTGGCTCAGCTGCATTTCCTGCATTTTGAAAAGCTGCACGTTTCCTCCGTTTAGCCGCCAAAGCAAAGCACAGTTCCCTATGTTACAGTGGTCACGTGGGGCCATATTAATACAATCAAGATTTAATCATTCTTAGGCCTGTGTCCGTGTTTGATTCTCATCCTAGGATAACATTAAGTAAAATTCATGGGCTACGATACAACCTAAAAACAACAGATCCGAAATATTTACTCTATTCGATTTTATTTAAAGCAAAAGTAGCAGCTTTGCTTCCTTGTTGCAGATTCTGGTTGTTAGGCAATTAGCTCTCATCCAATCAGCGATCAGATAGAAGTCACGTGACCAGAGTGGGCTCCTCCACAATATGCCACATAGTAATTGACATTTTCTTTCTTCAGAAAATTAACTTTAAGGTAAAAAAATTAAAATAAAAAACAAAAAGAGATTTTTATTTTTGCAAATAAAAATTGTTACCCCTCTGTTTTGGTTGAACTGAACTGAAGTTAGTTTGGTATAAGCCACAGCATACACCTTTTAACCAGTTCAAAGAAAGCTAATGACAGTACCTTAATAGCCATGTAACAACCTGGTAATAACATAGCAAGTTACATTATATTACTAGGTATCAAGAAAAAATTTATTGAGAATTTTACTAAGTGCTGTGCTTCAAAGTTTAGGGGGACAAGATAAAGTCAGACTTCTTAGATCTCAAACCGTTATTACCTGGTAACTCATATTTATTTTGCAGACAGCAATAAATGAATTTATCTGTTAAAATGCAGGTTATTACTTAGTATATAACAGCAAACCAATCTTCTTAACTAAACTCTTATTTATATGTAACTTGAGTTTAGTTTTATATTTGTGGGCGGTGGCCAATAATAGAAAATGTTATGTGCTAAACTAATGGTAATTACAATGTTACATAGTCACATACAATTGTAATAATTACATGCAGGTTATTATTTTGAAATCATATACCTTAATCTTGGGGTAATTACCCAAAAAAAGTTGTTCTTATTACTAAGTATTATATTTCCAGTTGGTGTGTTATTACCATGTTATTGCATGGTTAATGATGTACTGTAAAAGAAAGCGTTACCCATAAAGGTTTCTAGGGAAGGGGGGTAGCTGTCATATATGTTGCTAAAAGCATTAAACTTGTCCCCTTTATGTACGACAGACAACATTTTCTCAGTATTGAATAGCAAACTGGGAAAGGATATCAGATGGTGAAGTAGGGGCCACTATACAGAGGAGGAGGTGATGAAGCGGAACTCTGTCAGAGGCCACTTGCTTTTATTTAGTTCCTTTCAGCTAAAAATAGACATTATAATGACTCAAACATGTGTGGTATGTGTTCTGTTTGGGTGGACAACCTGCATGTTCTTTCGAATCTACATATTGTCACGTCTGAGGAGTTTTGTTGATTTTAGTATTTTTGATGCATTTAAGCATCTAAAGTTTTTATGCATTTTGCCTGTCACAGCAACTGCTGCACAAAATATTGATTTGCAACAACTACTATCACATCAGTGCTTACAAAATCTCAAAGGGTTGCTTATGGTAATATTTTGTAGGCTGTGATGTTTCAGAGGTTATGCAATACATTTTTAATTTATAATATGTATTTGAGCACTTGGATGGGCTTTAAACTGTCCAGACTTCAAAACATTTTAGCAACTGAGATTTCAAAGTCCAGGGAGAGAATGAGGAAACTGTGACGGTGGAAAATAATGGTTGTTGGTAAAAGTGGTGAGTACTATCATTGGCCACCCTGATGTAGGTTTTTAGTGGCTGAGATGCTAAAGATCAAACAGGGATAGGTTGAAACTTGAGCCAAATGGGGTTTAATCAAGGAGGTTGGCTGTCATACATGTTACCGTACTAAAAGTGTTTAACATGACATCCTCTCTGTAGTGTTCAGAAGTAATTGCGCGGAGGTTTTTGAAACAAACAAACTTGGACATGTTAACTAAACTTTGAGATGTGCTGCTCCAAAGTCCTTCATATACTAGATAATGAAGCAAAAATACAATACAATCAACCCCAGTCTCTCTGACTTATTTAAATTCTGTTATTTTTTATTTTGATATGTAGATTTGAGTCAGCAGGACTCTCATCACCGGTGAATATCTCTCACCATTATTAGCCTACTCGTTTTATCTTTATAAAACTTGCATTTGGATTATTGACATTTGAAGGGCTAAAGCCGGGCATACGCTGTGCGATATTTTCAATCGTTGCACGCAGCTACAGCTCAAACTGTATGACAAAACCGTTGGGTTTAAAAGTTCACAGCTCACGATGCAAGTTCTCACACTGTGCGGCACGATGTGACCTTACGATGCCCGGCTGAATTTCAGACCTGTTTGATTTATTCTTGACCTTATGATTCCTGATTGGGAGGTGGTAGTGAGGCTGATCACCCAGCTTTACCCCTTGTATGCTACAGGACGCACGATCAGGCTGAAAGTCAGCCCGATCAAAAGATTCTCCCACAACTGGAGAATCCATCCAAAAAGGGCAAAAAATCGTACAGTGTAAGCCCGGCTTAAGGGTGTTTAAATATCGCTTATCTTAGCAGTTTTATCAGGGGGATGTTTTCTATATAGCATCTTATCCTGAGGTCACTTAGGTCCTCTGATGTCAGATTTGTGGAGAAAGAACTGATCTTACCCTAATTTTTCTTTTCCTCTCTCTGCTCAGTTTTTCTCCAAAGCAACAGAGCGGTTCGTGCACGGAGTGGACTCTTTCATGGACACCATCTGGAAGATCTGGTCAGATCTGCTCGATGTGATGGGCATTGATTGTAAGCTGCGTTCTTGTAATGTTTTTTTTTTGTCAGATTTGTTGCTACTTTTTTAAAGAGGATGTATTCCCTGTCTCTCTCCCTTCCTCTCTGCAGCCTCAAACCTCAGCCACTACTTCAGCCTCACTTCTCTAACCAACACCCCAGCGCGTGCCTTGCTCCTGGTCGCTGCCGTGTTATTGGCCTACTGGTTCCTATCCATGTTTCTGGGGGGGTTGTTTTATTTGCTGCATGCCATTTTCGGACGCTTCTTTTGGCTGGCAAGGGTCATACTCTTCGCCCTGTCCTGCCTCTACATCCTGCAGAAATTCGAGGGCGACCCAGAGCGGGCCGTGCTGCCGCTGTGCTTCATCATGGCGGTGTACTTCATGACGGGGCCAGTGGGGGCGTACTGGCGTCGCGGAGGCGGGGCGGGCTCGCTCGAGGAGAAAATCGACCACTTGGACACTCAGATCAGGCTGCTCAACATCAGGCTGAGCCGAGTCATAGACAGCCTGGAGCACAACGGGGAGCAGTAGAGTTGCAGCTGGAAGGATTATTGTCGGAGTTAGACCACATGTATTTGTTAATTTGCTTTCCTGAGCTCACCTTCAGGAAAACAGGCACCAGGTATTTATAACTCTACTGGGTTTTAAAGCTTGAGTTGGTTGTGGAGAGATTAATGTAGAATTCCTAAAAGAAATAAGACACAACCAAAGCAAACATCTTCTTAGATTTTGGGTAAATATATAAAAAGGAGGATTTTTGTAAATCTAAAGAAGTTATGTAAGCTATCTCCGTTCTTCATCTCAGCAACTTATAAAAGTTACGTATTTCTCTTATTAAAGCACCAATTGCTTAATACATAAACATATTTTGAGCTTATAAAACCTTAGTAGACTTAAACAATTTTGAAGATGGTGTATATTTGCCCAGAGTGAGATTGATTTATTTATTTTCTCCAAATATTCTTCAGATTGGCGACCATTCTTTGGTGAAGGTGATGTCAGGACCTTTTTTCCTTTTTTTTTTTCTTGTGCGTAAGTACATGGGTCAACGCCTCAGTGCCCTGCTTCGTTGCGTATGTGGAGGTAGTCGACCATGAAAATTTGGGAAACACTGTAACTGAATTTGCATTCAGATGTGGAAACCATACAGAGAGCCAGCAATATCTCAGGGACTCACTCCACACCTAACGAAATATGAGTGCTAGTGTAATATTTGGTCTCTTCACTGTTCTGTTTGGGTGTTTTTTTTTGTCAAGTTTAATTTATGCATGCCGTCCTCATACATTTTCAGCTTTTATCGTTTCATTATGTATAAATTAAGTGAAGGTTCAGATCGGGAAATGTTTAATCATCTGCACATCACAGGACCCTGGATACTTACTCTAAGATTAGTTTAATGGTGGTAGTTATTTGAATAAATTCTAATATAAAAGTAAAACATTGCTCCACTGTTTAGCCCTGATTAAAGAACTGGAGGTTTATGAAGTTTGGTAGAAATCTGGAGAGCTGGAGGCTTTCAGTGGGAACTATCGGGAAGATTGTGAGAATAAAGGGAACTTGACATTTGATGAGCTTTTAAAGGTGATGGTGACGAGTTTAACTCCTTCGCAGCCAGTAAGTGGTTCACTCATGCTTGTCTCTCTCCACATTCTGTAATTTTGTAAGCTAGGCTCACTAATACTAACCAAACCAAACATTTATTTACCTTTAGAAGAAACTGTTTTTTTGGGGTGGGGCATTTTATGCATCATTTTGACTAGAGCAGATTACGTACTCCTATGTATGTACAAAAGAGTATGTACTACATAAACAGAGGGATACTCCTATGTATGTAGGAGGGATACATACCTATATATGTATCCCTCCTACATACTGTATACTATATATTATTAGTTAAACATCTAATAACCTACTGTACTGTAACCTTTCTGGGCACTGTTGTGGAGGCCACGCCCCCTAAATGCTTCCTCTTTCACATGAAAGGGTACTTCCTGGAATCCCACACTATTGAAGCCACTACCCTTAGCCTGCGGACTAAATGAAGGAAACATGAAATGTTGATGAAATTTTTAATTTATAAAAACATACACCTGCTTGTAATGAAAGCAAATATCCCTGCTTGTGTTTGGTTATAGCACTATTTGTCGGAATGGCCTCCAGTTCCCAGTTGTTTTCCATTTGGTAATTCTCTAATTACCAATGAAAGTGTTTTTTTGCAGGAATGAAAATACGCTTTAATGTTTCCAGATGTTAATTTAAATTTCCACCTGTTTGCAAATTTAGAGACAACATTCCTCAACAGATGGTGTTATGTAAAGTGTGATTTCTCAGCTGTTAAAGTTAAAAGGTCATGTAAATTCTCTGACAGGATTTTTGCCTTTATGTTCTATTTAGATATTTAAATGTATACATTCCTTTTAATGACCATTTTCTTATTTAGAGAAAGGCCTTGGTGGGGTTCCTCTCCATTCTTGTGTTTGTAGCTTCAGATGAAGTATTCAGACATTTTAACAATAGGACACAACTTTAAGGCAGTATTGCAAGGGAGGAAAATACTCTGTTGGAAGATCTTTAAAAAAAATTATCTTGGTACTTTAATCTCTACCAGGTCCTTCATATTAGAATTTGTGTTTTAATTGATGTTTGGTCAGAATACAAGGATGATAGTGGTTATATCAGTCACTTAAAATTTTCTGTTTGATTATACACTTAGAACTATTTTACTTATGGTTATTAAAGCCTCAAACTTCATTGTGTTGTTTTTCCACTATTTTGCGTGATAAACATAAAAAGTGGTGTGTAATCATTTAGTCAGAGTGTGAGGGTTCAAGGGGTAGGAATATTTTTCAAGACCAAATACCTTACAGAAGGAAACCTGTTCTAAGTGACCGTTTTTGTTCCCAGCCTTAATTATATCGCTATGCTCCGTATTCTTGGTTTTGAAGGTGAAGTGAAGTCTTGCTGTTTCTGCTAGGGCTGCAAAATATTAGAAATGAATCCAGTAGTATCTGTCATCAATCTGATTCCAATTCCCTCAGTAAGACTCAGTATTCTGGGCAGGGAGACTAAAACCATGTAGGACTGCCACACCAGAATTCATTGGACGTCTAGTATAACAACCTGGCAGTTATTTACCATCCCTAATCATGTGTATTTTCATTTTTTGGAGGCAACACTGCAATTAGTCAATTTAAAAGCAGGAATGGCAGTTTAAGGGTGGAAAGATGCACAGTAATCGGCAAAGGTTGGGAATCAAACTTGTGACATCTGTGTTGAGAACCTCCACTCTAAATCTTCCCCTGAGCTACATGGTTCCCTGCAGCCCTAATTAATGCAAACAGTTTGCTAGTTACATGTATTAAGCTTTTCTTTAATCCATTATTGTTTTTTTTTTTCAGGTCTTTTAGCTAGATGTCATTGCTGGGATATAAAATTATTTAGAAGCATACCTGGGATTTTTCCTGTTTTGCCAAAAAAACTCCCACAGTAATAACCAACCAGGTGGATGAACCGTATGTTATGTGAGATTTTACTGCATGCTGCCTTTATAGATTTCCATTTTGCTGCCTGTTTTTTTTTTTCTTTGATACAAATGACATGAAATTAGTCAGAGACTTCTTGTTTTTGTATTGTTACTCATCAATGTGGCTTGTTTTTCTGCACTATTGATTGCACTGAAGACTAGACTTTGTTGACCCTTTGATCACTCTTGGTTTGCAAAGAACACTGGATACAATCACTGCTTTCATTCCATAATCACTGCATTGTCCCTGAAACGAAGGTACATATTGATCTATGTGAAGCAAAACTACTTTTTTACATTAGGCAGCTAACTGGAGTTGGGTTTATAATATATATTGCTAGCCTACAGAATAATCTGTTGTAAAATTGTTTAAAAAAAAAGGTAATGTGTGGCTCATCGAGGTGTTTATCAACTGATAACTATCACTAAATGAAGGTTTTACCCCCAATGAACTAGACTATTTTAATAATCTACACCTGAAGATGTATAATATAGAATCACAGCTGGGTGAGGGTTTGAGAGACTGTTTGTGTGAAGAACTGAATTTTTATCCCCCACATCTTTAAAGCTGTTAAAACCTTGTGAAGTTTCTTTTGGAGCATCATGGAAGAGAAGATATCACCAGCTGTAAATGTTATCATAAACCACTCAGTGTTTCCATCAGTTAACATCAGATTCATTGATTGACCCACTTATTTATCCGTTTATTTAGAGTGTATAATGAATAGCATTTACGTAAAAAGAAGCTGTACTGTAACCTGTCTGTTTCTAATGGTCTTTATGGTGCCATTTCTTTTTTATTACTGTAAGAAATTTGGATCATAGTTTTTTGTTTTTTTTTCCCACTGATTTCCATTTTTATACTTTTTATCATCTGGAGTCTAATGTGCTTGACTGCAGTGGTGGCAGTTACTGTTCTGCTTCCTACTGTCTTATTTGTGTTTAAGCGTGTCTTTATGGAAAACTGTAAAAAAAAATGTTTTTTGAGCAAAGATGAGGTCAGGATTTCAATAAAGTCATAACTGAAACCTAATGTATTGATTTATTACATCCATACATTCTCCAAATAACCAGAAAGATGATCTTTGGAGAAGCTGACTTTTCATGGAGTTGTTACAACTCACACTGTTTAGTGGAAGGAAAAAAAATAATAAGTGATATCTATAGCCTTTAGCAAGATTTTAAAAAAAAAATTAAAACCCTTTTCAGGGTTTAGGGAAGATTCAAAAGTCCTGGATCACAACACAGATGTATGTAGGAAATGAATCATAAAATACAAACTTCATCAGAAGCATCTAACCTTGGCCAAAAAGAACAGAAAACACTGCTCCAAAATAATCTTTAGAAGAAACGGGTTTATATTTTAATTCAAAATCACAGTTCCAGAGTGAAGAGGAACATAATGCATGTTTGCAGTCCACTGTGTTTTCTCCACAGTCGAGGATTCAATGAGCAATTCCTTCTGGTTCTTATTCTGTGTTTAATCAAAACCACAGAACAGCTGTCTGCTTCAACATTTTAGAGCACTTTATATTCCCAAAAAACTTGTTTTAGGAGATTGATTTAACAGGAAAATGGTTCCTACCTACCTCATCAATGCTGCCGATTAGGGTTGAAACAATCCGATTAATTGTGATTACCGGTAATCGATTATTAAAATTATTGTCAACTAATTTAGTAATCAATTAATAATAAGTATAGAGACTCTACCACATGCCTTTAGCTGATAAAGCAATCCACTTAGTAATTATATCAAAATTGTAAAAAAAAAAAAAAAAAATGTAAATATTTTGCATTTAGGATAAAAAAAACTTTTTCGTCTGTCAATATGCTCTATTCAGAACTCCTCCAGTGGAAAAGTTTCAGATTCACTTGGTTAACTTTTCTAGAAAGTTTCAAAATTGAATTGAAAAAGCTTCCTAGATGGGAAGCAAAACGTCTTCAAACTTGGAAACCAAGTCCAGTAGATTGTTGTTGTTTTTTCTTACTTTTTTGGAATTACTATAACCTGGATGACTGAGATTCTCCACCAGCATATTACTTAATACCAATAAAAAAAAAGCTTTTTATACAGAAATGAGAGCTTAATGAAAAGTTTAATATTTCCATAAGGGTTATTTTCAAATGGTACGGGTAAACTGATAAAGTTATATTCAGATTTGAGGACTTTCCGTTTCTTTCATGGAATATTTAAACCTTAAGAAAAACTGTTGTTTTTAAAGGTGTTAGTGAGTCACCCCAAATTCCTAGAAATAAAAACTTGCAATACATCCCTCTGTGTGACCTGTATGTATTTCACTTTATAACTTATGTACTCAAATAGATTACCCTTTTTTGTAGGTCAATGTTTTAATAATATTTATTCAGATACTCCTTCAGGACTTGTTTTTATAGAATCAAAGGTGACTTCATAGTGGGGTGTTTTTCCTGACACTAGATGGCACTAATAGTTCAAGCATCAATAACACCACCTAGGGTTTTTGAATTATTTTTCACAATCCCTATACCAGGGGTCTGCAGCTCTGGTGTAACAAGTGGCTCTGTTTTTAGGTCTATTTTCCTAGTCATTAGCATGAGAATTATAGTTAGGTTTTTACAAACTAGAACTTGGCTACACTGCTGCTCTCCTCCATTTAGTGGTGCCTAATCTCTGCCCCTGTTTTTATTTTTCTTTAGAAGTCAAGCTTCCTCCTCCTACTGGGGGATCTGGGGATATCCTCCCACATACCATGGGAGGTCGGTTCCAGGTGTTCATGGATACACACTAATATTTAAAACTAATACTTAATACTAATCTATATATATATATATATATATATATATATATATATATATATATATATATATATATATATATATATCCTGAATAATATTGTGTAATCACAATATTAGCTTTTTTTATGTTTACTTCTGTTCTTTTTTTCTGTTGTTTTGCTTTCTGTTTCTGTGTTGTCTATTTCTGCAATTTTGTTTTATCTTTCTTTCTCAACACCCTTTCCGTCCCCATGTCTGCTGTATACGATTTTACTGCCTACTTTTCTATTTTGTTTTATATTTAAGTACCAAGCAGAACCTTATGCCCATAGTCATAATGGTCTGCTTATGAAAGCAAGTCTGTTGGGCTATTGGCTAGCTCTGGGACATCTATTCCCAAAGCTATATTGGCAAACAGGACACACAAAAAATAAACTAAACAAAAAAGAAACACTTGAAATTTTTTTATAAGAGATTGACGGGTTACATTTTTTTTAAGGCTAATGCTGATTATTTTGACATGACTCTAACCAATCCCTGGTGCGACAATGTGCTGTCAATTATTCTTGAGGCTAACATTGCTTTTCTTCCTTCATTTACGTTATAGAAAATGACACAGTGGTAATAAATGTTATACACATATTTACATTTAAACAGAAACATTTATTAACATAAATAAAAAATAAACAATGGGTAGCAAATTAGGGAAGCAGCAGTGCATGAGCTTCATGTGAACTAAAGGCATGGCTGCTGAATGAACTAATGAATCGGTGAACACATGCATGTATCTGCCAATGTCCTTACAAGAAGTGATCGCTCATATCTGCCAAAATGTCAGCCAGCCGACGTATCGGCCCATCTCTAGTTTTTACACTTTATTAAACTACAAAAACAAAAAAGAGAACATAGAAATGTAGGTTTTTCTTTGGCTCTTCATGATCAACATCACTAAATAAAGATAAAACTAATTAAAGTTACCAAAATATAAAGTCAAATTAATTCAGGCATGACTAACAGCATCAGCTTATTTTACATTCAGAACATACACCCATATAGGCACAGGTCCTTGCTAAACAAATCGTATCTACATATCTAGGGTTAAGGTTAGATAATTTATCTAACCTTAACCCTACATTTTCAGGGATTGCAGCCACCAATTCAAATTATTTAATAGAACTTTTTTTGATAGAAAAAAATAAAGTAGTGTATAATTGTAAACTGGAAGGAAAATAGTAATGAACAAAGTATAAATGTATAGTGGAGGATATTCTTTTTCTGACTGGATCATCAAAATAAGTGGTCCTCCTAATTGTCAATCATTCTGGTAATATGTCTACATAAGGCCATCCTATGTGCTCCTTCCCATTTTCACTCCATTGAGTCTGACATAGTGAAAAAATTGCAAATCTTTATCTATATAAAACTGGTCCTATAGTCACTCTATTACAGATGGAGTCATGTAACCAAAGTAATTTCGTCCTGGGATTATTAAAGTATTTCTGATTCTGATTCCTGGTTGATAGGACAGGTGTAGTGAATGAAACGGTGTCCAGCTTGAAAGAACTCCTCTGTGTCGCTGAATGTGTGCATTGAGGACACCCTTAGGGGTCGCGGACCCCCTGTTGAAGACCTCTAACCAAAAGGGTGGAAAAAAACCTTCCAGCAGGACCATACGGCCACTGCTTCCATGGAGTGATGGAGCTCAAAACATATTGGTGTGTGTATATATATATACTGTATATACATATATATATATATATATATATATATCTATATATATATCTATATATATAGATATATATATAGATATATATATAGATCTATATATATATATAGATATAATAGATTTTCTGCCATGAGAAGTATGAAAAGACTGAGATTTGGAGAAAGAAGAATGACTGAAAGACCAGGAGGGTCAAGGAGGCAACAACTAAAGAAATTTGGAAAATTATTTTAATTTAACGCTACGTTCAGACCGCAAGAGCTGGAAGCAGCAAAAAAGCTTCTGCCGATTTATTTTTATGCTTGTACCGTGAAGATGACAAGATGTCTGAGAGAGAAAGAACGCAGCGTAACAGAAAACTGATGGAGTAAAGGAAGCCACAGAGTGAGAAAATCCATTGTATCCAACTGCACCTACTGGTATGTAATGATTCTCTGTATGAACTGCAAACAGTTGCTTATTTGCTGTCAGAAACGTGCCACAACTCTCATATCTAGGCTTCCAGCACCACCGGAACCACCACCAAGACCCTGAGCTTGAGGGGATCCCAGCTCCACCTGGATATGTTGGAGACCGGAGTTGAAGCTGGCACACAGCAAACTGGTAGAATCGGTGGAAGCTACAGAAAGCAGTGGTCCAGCACCATCCAGGGACAACGTACCTAAACAAACTACAATGAACAGGAACAAAAACGGAGTGTTATGGACATAAAAGCCTTCCATTTTACTGTTTTGGGTAGGTTTTTCTTTACTCATTAATTGTGGTCCAACCTGCCGTATTCTGATCCCAGATTTTTACCGAGCTGTCATGGGAGGATGTTGCTATCTGAGCCGAGCCACCAGAAGATGCAGGTAGAAAAATACAGCAGGCTGTGGTCTGCAGGTGACCTCTGTACTCCACCACTTTACAACCAGGCTGACGCAAGTCCCAGAGCTAACGGGCAAACACCACAGTGCATTCAGTTAAAAATGTCTCAGAAATTAGGCACATTAGCACTGAATGACTAAAAAATATCATCACCGATGGTTGTTTCTAACACTAATATCCACAGAGTGCCTCCCTTGCTCTCACCGTGGCTTCACAGCCCTGGCCCCCAGAGCCATTGCTGCTGGACACCAAGTAGTTCCCGTTTGGAGAGACATCACAGTGAGTCTGTATATACTGCTTAGCTGGAAAAGTATTGGTTACCTGCCACGAACGGCTGTCCCACACCCTGCACACAAAACAGTTCAAGTAAAGCAGATTATACAGTTTTTATTTCAACAGTTTTTAGTTAACTCATACAACATGTTGGTTTAAATACAAAAAGTTCCCGATGAATTTTGAAGGAGACAACGAGGAGAGCTGAAAAGAAGGAAGTAGGGAAGGATATAAGGGAGTAAGAAAGGAAGCTCATATTAAATGATGGAGGGAACCAAGAAAGAAATGCAGGAGACAAGGAAGAAAGACAAGGAGAAAGGAGGGCAGAACATAATGAAGGAGGGAGGAAGCAAGGACGTGTGTTTCTATGAGATAATAAGACAAAAAGACAAATGGATAAAATATTTAGACAACAGAACAGGAAATAAATCTGGGATGCTGCATTATTGTCAGGAGGCTACAGATTCCTTTTACTATCTAAACTAGTGAATTAAGAACCCACACCCCAACAAACATCAAATATTTGCTTTACCTTATAGTTTTATCCTCTGAGGTCTGAACTACAGAGTAACTAGCAGGCACCCAGCACACATGAGTTACCTACACAAACACAAAAATATATATATAAAAAAAAACTTTTAAACTTTAAAGAAATCATAAGATAAACATCAAAGCAAATAGAAAAAAAAAATCTAATTTTTTTTTTATAACAGGAGCAGATTTGACAATACAGCTGACCCCGATGCTCTCACCAGGTTTCTTGAGATGTTGTGTCTGTGTTCACATTTTGCAGATTCTATATCCCACAGGCACATCCAGTTGTCCCGGGAGCCGGTGCAAAGCTTTCTCCCATCTAAAAACATCAAACACAGCACCAAATATACACAGACTCAAACATATCTTTAGATAACAGTTTCACATCTACGACAGCATAGGAATTATTTCCAGCTGATGCCAATTTTGACAGGTAAAAATACAGAAACAGAAATGATACACATTCACTTTATTTAAACTACTAATTTCATTTTTAAACCCAATACATTTTATGATATTGTATAAAATATCTTATACAGAAGTAGTTTGGTTTGCAAGGAAGAACAGAAATATATAACCCTGGCTGGTTGCTGCTTGGTCAGAACCAAACCAGAGCGAAATAATGACAGCATTGTTTAGCTTTTCATTCAAAATGGTTCTCATTGGCTAAGATTGTGATTTTTTATCATATCAAATGTAAGTAACGTGTTTTTTTAAGTGAGAATTTCCAGACTAATGACAGTGTTGTTCTGTTTGTACCAGGGCTGATGGCTATTCCATTGACAACCAGCTCATGTCCACAAAACTCCTGAATGGGTTCATCTCCCTGGTTCAGGTCCCACATTAGAACAGTCTTGTCCCGAGAGGCACTGAAAATCCATGTACTGCCAGGATAACAAAGCACCTGTTGCATATATGAGGACAGAGAAGACCTAGCAATCAGTGTGTGTGAAAGATAATTTCATTAAGTGTACATTGATTATGATTTTACCTTGGTAACCTCTCTGTTGTGACCCTGGAAGGACTGACACATGCGGCCTTGTTGCCAGTCATACACCACCACAGCCTACAGGAACGAAAGCAGGTGTTTTAATCTGTTGCTCTGGTTATCAATGCAATAAGCAGATACATGTCAATCCACACTTAGTTTGAAACTTAAAATGAAAAAATGTAGATCCATTCTGCCACTTAAAATGTTATATTCCTCTACCTGATCACTGCCACCAGAAACACACAGATCTGGGCTGAGACTGGTTACAGTGTTGATGGATCCCTGGTGGGCAGGTTCATATTGCAACACCTGACTGTCAAAAGAGTTCTCAGCTTTCTCCCCTTGAGATGTTCTGCAAAATATCAATGAGCAGATACGAAAAATAAATAACACACAGCTTTTTAAAACTATATATTTCCATATCATGGTTGTGAAGAACTCTAAATTCCAATAGCATGTTTCTTAGGTTAAATGGTGTCTCTATAGTACTTGTGTTTGTGCATGGTTGTGTGCATCTCTATGATGGATGTGTTGCTCAATGATGGATTATTCCCTGCTTTTCATCCATAGGCTGTTGAAGATAGGCATCAGACAACCGGGAGAAGATAAATGGGCAAATAAAACCTCACACAGATGTTATTCATGAACAGTTCTGTCTGGATGTTAGATCAATCTTTTTGGAGACCTAGTAGAAACTCATCAAATTGGTTGTTTTGCTTCAAGACCTTTAAAACATGGCCAGAATGTAAGTGCAGGTTGAGGTTCAGAAGATTAAATTTAGCCTGATTGCTCAATTCTAAAATCCGATTTAAATGAAAAATGTGAGAAAAATGTGGTTTTCATCTGTAGGATCAGCCAAGAATTCACTAAGGGTGAGCCTGTCACACTATCAGATCCTGTAGCATCAGTGTCTCGGTGCACATTAAGGTCAGCAGCATTACTGTGCATGGAAGGTTGGCCAGCCAGAAAAAACGCTTCTGCTCCAAAGTCAACACCTTTTAATTTAACTGCAATTTGCAGCTGGCCACATGGAAAAATAAAATACCTTTTGGAATTATGTTTTTTTTTTTTTATGATTACCAGCTTAATAGTTTTTGCCAAGCACAAAGTACAACAACGTTTATCAAATATCTAGAATGGTGACTGAAACATGCACTGCAGGTTACCTTTTCGAACCTGCTTTTCAGTCCATTTCTTTTTTCATCTGTTCTATTTCAACCTTTTATATACTTTTAACCCATTTTATTAAGTGTACAGAGGACCCATCTAAGAAATCTGACCTGGATGTACAGTAGGTGGAAAACCTGAAGCATTGATTGTCCTACATGTTTTAGGTGTTTCCCTAAAGCACTGTTACTGCTATTACTCCTCTTAGTAACAGTTAACTGACCCCACTGTAAATAGTTCAAAAGATGAGCTAACACCTGGCTTAGAAAATATCTAGATGAAATATCATCAATATACAAAAACATAATGAGAATTTGTGCTTGGTAAAGATTTTACATGGGGTCCCACAAGGTTTGTTCTAGAACCCAAACTATTTATTATATACAGAAATGCTACTTGACATGCAGCAAAATCTCTAAACAGGAATTTGTTCACTAATTCAAATTTACACAATAATAAACAATCTAGCTTATTTATAGAACTGTTGATGTGAATAAATTATTCAGTTTAACTAAGGGTGCATTCAAATCAGAAAACTAAGGAGACAAACTAGTAAATGTTTACTCTGACACCCTGTCTGGGACCTCGTTAATTAGACCAGAACACGATGGTGGTGGTGGTGATGGGGGGAATGTGGTCTTAAAAGCAACAAGCTGGGTAAACCTTGATGCCATAACTGGCTAAGGCCTACTAAGGACTAAGCAAATTTTCCTTTTAAAAATAGTTGTAAGAAGCACATCTTAGGATCACATTGTGTAGTCCAACACACCCCACCTGTATAGATCAGACCTCTTCCGAAACTTGCTCTGCAGCTTGCCCATCTCTGCTCAGAAAACCGCAGCCACACTGAATTACAGAAAGACAGAAAATACCATTGCGGAAAGAAAAAAACAGACTAAAAATATTCCACTATTGTAAAGCTTTTCTGTGACTTCAATATAGAAATAATGATGTTGATTTGTATTTTGTAATCCTGCAACAATCTACTAATATAGAACTAATATAGAATTAAATTCAATCATTAAAACTATATAATACAAACACGGGAAAACAAAATCCTTCTTATAATGCATGATCATTATATCACTGCAACTGCATACTCGTGAGAGATTAAGCTTACACATACCACTTTCCCAGGCTAAGCTCCACCCTCATTATCCCTACGAATTTCTCAAACAAGCGGCAGGAAGGAGAGAGCTCCAATCCTATTAGCGCCACATCATTACTGCCACAAGGAATTAGTCAGTAGAAAACACCTCTCTATGAACTATGCTGGCACTCATTATGCAACCGCTCTCGCATGAATATGACTAAAGTGTTAAAAAATATATATTTAAAAAGTTTTTGTGCACGAACCAACTTCTGCAAACTGTTTTTTTTTACCTGTCACTTGGAAGTGCGGTCGCTGCTTGGTGCCGAGGCTAACTAATCCTTACAGCCCATGCTAAGAAAGATCAGCAAAGAGACACGGACACATTTTCAGGTATTAGGGTCGTTACTGGGACGATACCGAGCCTTTCCCTGCAGACGTCCATGATGTTTTTCCCATTCAACCTGCTTTAAAAGCACACTGAAAGGTTCCTTGAAGAACTACACATCCATCATTTCTTCCCTGGAGACCGCAACGAGACGCTTTCCCCGTATCCAGGGGAAACTGGAGTCACGTGACAGGCAGGGGAGAGAAAATAAGCGGAAGTTGTTATAATTCACAAAATAAAAGAGCTCTCCTTGCCAAAAGTAGTAAAAAAAAAAAAATGCATTAATCTATTGCGGCATGAATACGGAAGAGGATTAGGGCCACTAAAAAAA